TTGCTCCCTAGCGCTACTTAGTGTAAAAATAGCAGAGGTGACCCCAGGCTCAGAAGGTAGTCAGTGCTTGCCCTTAGGGGTTCTGGGGGGTTTGAACAAACACCATTTTGGGAAGGCTCTCTTGTTTCACTGCAGTCAGGCATGTCAGATTAGCCTCATTCAAGCTCGCTGCAAGATGGAGATGATAAGGATTCAGAGGTCTGGGCTCATTCATCAACGGATAACACAATTCAGACCCTTCATGGCGGCCACACCTTGGAGGAAGCACTGCATACTTGTTAAAGCAAAACATAGTTCCTGATTGGTCACAGTGGCTAACATGACTGTGAACCTCTCAGCTCTGCCACTAGCCCTTAAAGACAAGACAAGAGTATAGGATTAAGAATCGACATTGTGATGAGGAGTGATAAAGAAATTGTTAGTACTCTTCTAGGATTTGATGATCTTGTCAATATGGTATGGAAGGTGTAACAGTTTGAAACTGTAACAGAGGGAGTTAGTTATCCCTGCTTTTTCTGCCTAAGATGTTACTACTTTTGCTACACTCTGCTACACCCTGCAGAAATGTAGCAATCTCTTCCGGATGTGGTGAAAAGTTGTTACTTTTTCTGCTGAGCCTTGCTCAAGCCCACTAAGGAGACGTCTCAGCAAGGTTCTATTCTGCACCAGCCAATGAAGATCTTCACTCAAGTAATGCATGGGAAATAAAATTCCAGGGCAAAATAGTGGCTGATGGATGTTTATTCGGGGAGGAATCACTTACACCAGAAACAGATGACTTTTGTTACGAGCAGTTTTTCCACCGCCTGCCTGGTCCCACAGCCATGCCAGCCCCAAATAACACACAGAGATGCTGTATTAGAAATGAGCTGTTAGCCTGTTACTAGTGTTTCTTATTGGCTCGATTTGTCTTAAATATTAATCCATTTCTATCAATCTAAGTATTTCCATGTGGTCTATCTTACCGGAGAGAGGATCCGGACCTCTGTTCTCTTGATCCTACATTTTGAATCTCCTCCTACCTCTCCCCGAAACCTCCTTGTTTCCTAGTCCCGCCTATCTTGCTTTCCTATTGACCAACAGGACTTTATTCATAAACTAATAAGAGAAACATATTTACAGAATGACATCTCCCATCAGATGACTGCTGCAGGTTCCCATTCCAAGGATGCCTCTGGGTGCTCTCTGTCTCTGACCAGGAAGTAAGAGAGTGAGCTGGGGTCTGGAACTCCAGACCTAATCCCCACAGGTCATTCTTGCACTTGTCCCCACACCACAATGGGCGTGGTCAGTGCAACAGGTGTAGGCAGGGTGGATATCTCACAATTCCCGTTAGTCTAAAGAAAAGACTTAGGCTTTGATACAAAACTATATATAAAGACAGTAAATATCAAGTGTGCTCTAGGAGAAGGAAAAGTAAGAACATACACACTTAAGACCTATTGCCTGTGAGGTAACAAGAGCAAATGACAAGAACTACACCCAAGACTCTTTTGAAAAAGAGATTTGGGAGGAATCCAGGAGAGTGGCTGCCTTTTCCAGGGTGAGAAAGGACACCCTGCAACAGAATAGGCAGGGGAGGGGGCTTATATAGGGCTTCTTGGGGGTAGAATTTTCCCAGGGAATTTTTCTGCTCAGGGACTGGTTTGTTTTCCTGACCAGGAATTGGTTAGTTTAGATGGTCAGGGACAGGGATTTCAGGGGTAAACTGTTTCTTTCACTGGTCATTTTTATCCTTTTGGCTCTAATTTTAGTATTTCTTTCACTCGCTCTGATTCTAGGGACAAAGGGTGTTTCTTTGGCACTGGTTTCATAGTCAGGGAGTGTTTCTTTGGTTCTGGGTTCAGGGATAAAGTGTTTCTTTCACTGGCTCAGATTTCAGATCCTGGGTGTGTTTCTTTTACTGGTTCTGGGTTCAAAGTCAGGGTATTCAGGGATTGATTGATTTCCAGCTCAGGGTTGCCTCTGGCTTCAGATCCAGGTGTGTTTCTTAGAGTGGGTTTCTTTGGCTGGCCCCTTTATCCTACACTTGTCACAAACATGACCTAATAAAATTGTTGAGGTTATGATTGCTATCATGTTTCTAATTATCTGTATGGTGGTCATGGGATTTGTTCACTGCTAAAAATAATTTAACAAGTGATACTAGCAATAAGACAGACTGCAATACAGAATTTAGCAAGAGTGTGAATACTTTTCTTCTAAGAGCTCCCTTCTTTTTTTTTTCCACAGAAGTAACAAACATTGTTTTATTTTTATTTTCTTTTTTTCTACAGTCTATTTTTTTTGTTTTTTTAAAATTTAATTTATTATCTTACATGTTGATCCCAGTTTCCCCTCCCTCCCTCCCTTTTACCCTCTCTGCCCTCTCACATGCACCCTAACCACCCTCCCCTCCCATCCCCCCCACCCTAATTCCATATGTAGGGCAATGCCATCCAGTTGGGGTCATGTAGATCTGACAGGTCATGTGAAGTAGGGACTAGGGCTTCTCGCCTGTCTCTAGGTTAAGGCAGTTATCCCTCCATGGGGGATGTGTTAGCAAGGTCCTTTTGTGCACCAGGGATACATCCTGAGGTCCCTTAGACTGCTCAGTCCTTCTTAAGCCTGCTTGGTATATATGACAATAATTTTGAATTTTGTGATGGTGATAACAGCAACTACTGTTCATAGAATTAAATTGGACTAAATAATAATAAAAAAAGAAATTACAACAAAAGAAGGATACAAAATTAGACTAGATTTTTAATAAGTGGAAACAATATAACAATGTTGTTTCCTGGAGGAGAAGGGCCCAGAGTAACAATGAATTTCCTTGAGTTATGTTAGATTCTGGCTCTCCCCCCCCCAACTTTTAATGTTTATATTGTATAAAATAAACTTTCTGTTAAAAAGAAATACTTTGAGGATATGTGCCCACTTTTCTATGCTAATCATGATTATTTTGTAATAAGAGTTTTTTATAGACTAAAAAATGAAGTTGTTTTGGTAAAAAACAAAACAAAACATAACAAAAAACTATAAAACATTAGAGGTGTCAAGAGCCAACACGTTTGGTTTTAAGCTTTGTAACGTTTTTCCTAGAAGACACAAAATGTTAAATAAAACATTCTACGATGCAAGGAAGGACCAGACAGGAATATGCAGCCACTTCTTTACTCCCCCATACTCCCAGCAAAGAAGCAGGTTCTGTCTGTCCTGACTATTGGTGTCAGATCACACTGATAAACACATTTCATTGATAGCTAAGCCACAGCTGGTAACTTGACACAAACCCTCTTCACTAACATGTTTTTACAGAAAAAAACCTGTTCTCCCAGCAGACACCACTTAAGTTGATCGTTGGCATTTTACAGCCTAATGTCAAATAAATTTCCCTTTGAAAGAGACTGACTTTAGGGCATTTAAAATGATGAACTCTTAATCACCTTGAAGTTCAATTTTCAGAAGTTTACAGTTACAATTGTGTTTAATTATCAATAACATAAAGGGTGTAAACTTGTCAATAAACTTCTTTTTTTTTCCCCATTGTGTTTTTTTCCTTTGTGTAAAGTATATTTCTCCCAAACCACTGGCTTGTGTTGGATGAAAGTGGACTTTAAGGTCTCCATTTATAAACACTTGCTGTCCCTTGGGATTATTAAAGATCTGACACTTACTGCAGAGTCAGGGGTCTCTTGGTGACAGTGTGTTTGCATTAAAACGACCATAGCTAGGTAGTCTGCACAGATCGCTTCTTGAGACCCCAGCACAGAAAAGGCGTCATAACATTTCTTGGAAGGAAAATTAATACAGAGATGTTTAATTCTCTATTTCCCTTGTGAATGTGCCAGCATCTTACTGAAGCAATAAAACTCTCAGCTATTGTCCACATTGCTTGTACTTTGCCCCTGAAATGCCCAGAGGACAAGACAGGAGGCACTGAGAAGCTAACAGCTCTGGCCATGGGTCTGGAAGGGAGGGGCACAGGCTTGCTGGGTGACCTGGGGAAAGAGACTGGCAGGGATACTTTCAGAGCAAGTGTACATCCTTGCAAGCCTCAAGTGACACTGTGATAGTGGGTGGGCAGTGGAGAACAATCCCACTTTGTCATTCTTTTTAAAAATTAAGAAATTATTTGTACATGTGCATCAGTGCTTATGGAGTTCAAAAATAGTCTGTTGGATCCTATGGGGCTGGACTTGCGGACATGAGCTGCCTGATTATGGTCTTGGAAGCAGTGCTTTGATCCTCTGCAATAGCAGCAAGGGCATTGAACCGCTGAGCCTTCTGTTCAGCCACTCTTCTTACTATTGTACATCAGTTTTTTTTTCATGAGTGAATCCTACCTCCACATGAGATGATGGAACTAAATGTTGAAGCTGCAAAATTTTGCCAAGAACAAAAGATTTGTACATAGGCAATGGTCAAGATTAGTTCAAATGTGGCCTGAATCTGAGGTGTTTCTGTGGTGTGTACCATGTTGCATTATGTGACATCCTCACACCCATGGTTCTGAGCACACAGCCTGAGTTCTTTGCGCTACATGAGCTGGCACAGCACACAACCCCAGTGATGCACCTGAAACACCTTGGCTCATAGTTGAGGCTATTGTTTGCTGTGATCACAGCACTTTCCTTGTACATATAAGATCTTCTGCTCCTATAGAAACATGATAGCTTCATTATGGATTATAAAGATTTAAATATTTTCTCATTTTTGTTCTTTATCATGTAAGAATCAACTTAGCATGCATTTGCATTGTATTATGGGAGAACATTTGGGCCTACAAGTTTGTGTTTTGAGTTGTTGACTTGAGTTACATAAAGAGCTGCTAAGTGAATTTTGTCTTGGGATTAGGACAAAATTTCCAACATTTTCTGGAATGTGCACTGCACATCTGTGTAAATGAGAAATACAAAATATCCATCAACTCTGAGAGACAGTGGAGCATCTCTGTCTACAGCATCAAATGTTCAACCAAGCTTCAATGACTCATGCAAAAAAAAAAAAAAAAAAAAAAAAAGATCCATCTCATTAGTTTTCAAAGTTACTGTCATCTTTAACAAATGGTAAAATTATATTACAACAGTTGTTTTTGATTTATATTCAGCAGAATTGTTTGATTTATGTTCATATATATATATATATATATATATATATATATATGTCATTATTTGGGGAAAGGGGTTGAGGGTAGAAAAAGTTTGGGAAGCCCCTTTCTTTCCTATTCATAAGACATTGGCTTTCGAGGGAAAGTATCATCTCATTGTCTCCATTCCTATGCTTCCCAGTTCTACATGTATCATTGAGGGTCAGGTGGGCTTGAGGTTAGCCACTCAGGCCATAAGAGCAGTTTGGACAAGGCATGAATAGATTTGCTGGCTCCACCAAAAGTTTACTGAGATGCTCACCCCACATGAACATCTGGCTGGGGAAGGCTGGGTTCCCAAGATGTCCTGGAAACAGTGCCACCAAAAGGCAATGCAGATGTTTACTGGCTTATAGATGGAGAAACTTAGAGCCAAGAGAAGGCTAGGCAGACCCAGGACTCAAAGCAGAATGCTCAGCCCTCAGATGTCAAGATCGCACAGAGACCCTGTGCTACTTGTCAAGGAGGTCCATGACCAGGTGAGGATGGGTCTCCTCCAGAGCTCGGTAGACTTGGTCTTTGCAGGACCTGGTCCAGGACCGGCTGAGGCTGAAGAGCTTCCTCATCTTGTCTTGGTTGGTGGCTTCAGCCCGCACCGCCTCATACTCCCCTTCACTCAGCACCAGACTATGAAGCTTGTCCAAGAGAGGGTCCACCGATGTCACTCGGGCCACCAGCTGCTCTCGATGCTGGTCCACAAAGTGTAGCAAGGCTGGAGCATCTAGGGGTGAAGATGAGACTGGCACTGAGCAGAGAAAGGCTCCTCCATGGGCTCTCCCAGTGGCTTCCATTTCTTGTTCTTGTCACATACCTCATCTCACCCCTGACTTCTTCCTTCCTCTAGAAGATCATTTGAAAAATATCTTTACCTTCTAAAAGCCAGCCACTAGTCTGACAGTTAGTCTGACTGGAGGTGGGGGATGTTCAGGTTGGGAGTGGGTGGAGTTATTGTCAGCATGGGAAGCAGCAGTGGGGCATGAGAGGAACCATGTCCTGGCATGAACCTGTCCTGGTGAGGTCTGCAAGCGAGGTTCCCTCCTTTCTCACTGCCCTCCTCTCAAGGGTCAGATGGTCTACCAGCAGACTACTATTGGCTTCTCTGACCTCTTCTACATGTTACTGACCTTTGTGGGCTGCAGGGATCATGAACTGTGCAGGTCTGAGGTCTCCTGGAAGAAAGGAGAAGATAATGCATCTCTAATGAAGCCTGTCACCACTCAGTGCTCTCTGTGAAACTCCCAACCATGCCTGGCATTTGAGAATGACATAATCTGAAAATCTGGTATAACTCGGAAGATGAACATTTCCTTACTTACACATGGAATCTAGGCACTAGGCTTATTATCATAGAGAGAGAACACCTGTGACCAGCATTAGGCATTTCTCCCACATGATCACAGCCTCAATGTTATCCTAGACTGAACTTCCTGTGGAGGACTAACCAAGTCCCTTGCTGGCTTAAATCATTTGATATTTGATTCTGGGTGGAAACCTACTTTCTTGTCTTTGTTTGACCTGTACACTTGCATGCCACAGACATGTGTTTTTGATTTGGTGGCAGAATCAAGATGAAGAGAGTCTGAGCACATGGGAACAGTGTTTTGGTTTTAGTAGCAAGTGGAGGTGATTAATAAATTTCAGTTCACGAATAAGCCCAAGGGTTTGAGAAGACTCTAAATTCACTGTGCTCTAACAGTTTAGGGAAGTCATCCCAAGGACCCAGTTTGTAGTATTGGAAGCCTTGGTTCCATTTGTATGAAGGAAGGATGATATTGCTTATACCTCATCCTACCTGAACCATCTTGGCGCATCCTGACTGAAGCATCTAATGAAGAAAATGCCTGAGTGATCATGAATTTAAAAACAAAGATGTAAGATTGTGGAACAAGAGGTCCATGATTATACTTTTCTAGTTTCTGAATACTTTCCCTCATGGAAGGGAACAGATCTTAATGAGCCCCAAAGAACAGAATTAAAAAAATTAAGCGGAAAGTTTGGCTTACTATTACTATTACCGTTGCTCTCATCAACCAAGAATCACACTATGAGATGTGTATGAACATCATTTAACTTTTTCAAATATCCTCTGAGCTACTCATTCTGATTTTCAGTTTGCAGGTGAGGAAGGCCAGACTCACATGAGTTAAGTCACTTTCCAAGATTGCCTGAGGAGGGAGTGCTGGAGTGAGATTCAAACCCTGGCTCCATGCTGGGGCAGGTCAGTTCACCTGTATCTCACTCAGGTCAAGGCTGAGCCAAGTTTGTTCTTTGACCACATGTGGAGCCTGTAGACACTCAGCAGCAGGAACCACCACTGTTTGACAGCGGACAAGGGCTGGGAATCTCCAGAGGTACTGATTAAGAGAGCTTGTTTTTGGCATTGTGTACACTGGAGTAAGACTATATTGTTAGCTGCAATTATGAAATGTCACTGTTTGTTTTCTATTGTCTATGTGAGCCTTACTTACAATAGCCAACAGACAAACAAACAAACAAATGCAAAATGAACACAGTGGTTAGGGTGCATGTGAGAGGGCAGAGAGAGGGTAAAAGGGAGGGAGGGAGGGAGGGAGGGAGAGGGAACTGGGATCGACATGTAAAATAATAAATTAAATAAAAAAATGCTTTGACTCCAAAATTTAAGTTCAAGGACAAGTTACTGGGGAAAAGGATTTCTATTTTTGTTTCCACAGAAAATGAAAAGCTGTGGATTCCTTTCAGACTAATGTGGTTTGATCAAGCCAGACTGCCTGAAACAGAGTACCAGGTGATCCTACATTCAAAACAGCTGGACAAAGCAGCCTTGCAGACTACAGCCAGGATTTCTGCATCTTCTTAGAATCCCCCATGACAGTGCCCCTTACCAGCAGGAAGTAGTTTGGAAAGAACAACACCCGAATTCCCAAATATTGTCTATAAATGTTTGTTTTCATTTAAATGGACTTGGTTATATAAAACAAATAAATAAATAAATAAATAAATTGGGAAAAAAAAAAAAGAAAAGAAACAAATCCCGGACAGAAAACAATCCTGGAAATGAAAGAACTCTACAACAAAAACTTTAAGCCATACATCAAATAAAAATAGATGAAGGCCTTAAAGATGGAAACACATCCCTCCCTGCAGTGGTTATTATTATTTTATTTTATTTTGGAAGACTCAATATTGTGAAAATAGCCACCCTATTAAAAGCCATCTCCCTAACTCTAACCCTAACCCTAACTCTGGTCTACAGATTCTGTGTGGTCCCAATCATGATTCTGGAGACATTCTGTACAAAAAGTGGGGGAAAAGTCCTGAAACACATGAGGAACCAGAAGAGACAGTGTAGTCAAGACAATCCTGAATAAAAATACTGCTATGGGAAGCATCAGCACATCTTATTTCAAATTAACACTACTGCCATGGCAATTATAACAGCATGGCATGCATGCAAAACCCCAGGTCACTGGGATAGAATAGAGGACCTAGATAAAAGTCTTCATAACCACAGCTACCTGGCCTTTGACAAAGAAGCCAAAAGTGTGCTCTGGAGGAAAGACAGCCTGTTCAACAAACGATACCAGAAGACCTACATAGCAACACTTGAAAGATAGACTGTTTGCCTGTACATTTCTTTTTAAAAAGCCAACTCCAAATGACCAAAGACTCAATGTGAGACCTGGTACCCCGAACCAGGTAGAGGAAAAAGTATGGAGAATATTTCAACACAGCAGCAAAAGTCAGGACTGTGCGAATTCCTGGTAGCACAGTAAGCAAACTCAATAGTTGATAAATCAGATCTCATAACACTAAAATGTTCTGTAGAGCAAAGGAAATGCAATTGAGTGAAGATGCAGCCAAGAATGGGAGGAACTGTTTCCCAGCTAACATCTGACAGAAGATTAGGAACTAGCATATACACAAAACTCAAAAGCCTAAATTCCAAGGAAATAACCCAACAACAAGGTGGGCCATAGGAAGAACCAGAGAATTATTATTTTTTAAACAAAATTCATTTTTAACAACTGCCATTATCCTATATAATTACAGTGATTGCTTTGGCTTAGAATACCTCACAACATTAGCTTTAGGTCCAATAAACCCTGGCAATTGCATTTGGTGGGAGATGCGAGGATATTAACTGAAAAATGCTAGTATGACTGGGTCTAGAAAGTCAAGAAAGCTTAGAGCTCCCCAGGGGAGTAAAATTAAAGGGTCTTAGGGGATGCTAAGATTGGGAAGGGATTATATAAGATCTATAATTTTTTTTGTTTGATATTTTACAAAGTCAGAATGTCTAGATTTACTAATGCTATTTACTAAGTTTTGATTACCAGCCTTGCCATGTATCTTACTTAGTTCTGTTTCTTACTGCTGTGCTAAAATACTCTAACAAAGGTAGTCCAGGAGAGAAAGGCAGAGAGTTAGAGTCCATGCGAGTAGGGAAGTCATAACTCCAGGAGCTGGGCGAGTTGGTCCTATCATATTTGAAGTCAGGAACAAAGAGTAATGTTCCTGATATGCATGTCATCAGGGCTCAGATTTCTCGTTTTCATCTGGTCCAGGCTCTCACCCATGAAGTGAACCAGAGAATTCTTAAAGGAAAAAATATAAAGGAAACAGTTATACTGGAAGTGCAGGTTAAATTTCTTATGATTCCATCTCATCCCTTGAGAATATCCAGGGCACAAAGCTGGAGTGGATGTAGGGAAAGCAGAACACATATACACTTCCTGTGGGAGGGAAAACTAGTGCGGTCACTGTGGAAATCAATCTGCAGGCATCTTAAGAACTAGAAATAGAACTCCATAGAACCCAACCTTACCATTCCCAGTAATATATCTAATGGAATTTATATCCTGCTATGAGTACATTTGCATACCATGCTCATTCAATCATGCACTGCTCATAGTAGCTAGGAAATGCAATCAGCCTAGACATCCATCAACAGATGATTAGATAATGAATGTGTGGCACATGTACACCACAGAGTTTTATTCAGGTGTGAAGAAAATAACATTATGAAAGGTAAGTATACAAATTAGGAAAAATATTGAACAAGATAACCTGGACCCAGAAAGAAAACACTGTGTCTACCACATCAGTTTCTGTCCTGGAGTATTTAGTTTTATATTAACGTGGTGTACCCCTACCAGGACACTAGTAGTGGGGCAGGACTTTAGGGATAAAAGGAGGTCATAAGTATCCTGATAAAATGGGGGCAGAAATGTTCAAACAGGAAGTGGGGTGAGGGAATGGAAGAGATGAGGGAGTGGGTAGGATGTTGTTTCAGAAATGAAGATAGTATTTAAAAGTCACAAGGAAATATATATTTGGTAGTCAAATATATAAAAAACATAAAAGACTTTGAATTCAAGGCACCCCAATGGTACTTGAAATGGGAGGTCTTAGCAGTAGTGAGTTTCAAAACAAAGACCCAGTTCCAGGTGTGGGATATCTCCATAGAAGCTGTTGGGCAGGGAAGCCCTGGAGCTTCCCAAGACAATACAAACACATTTCATTCTTCTTCATTCCCCATCAGAACTAGTGGATAAAACCTTATGGTTGAAGACCCCAGGCATCATAGATACATGGTATAGATAATTCAAGCTGGAACTGAGTTGGAAGCTTCCTTCCTGTTGCTAAAGTTTCATACCGTTATGCAGGCTGCAGAGGAAGACTATCAACAATAGTCTAACCCAGTTCTGTACTCTATATTCTTCAAACCAACCTGTCAGGTGAGATGGTCCCTTTGCTGCAATAGTGGCACAGCTGTGGTGGGAGCAACCTGTAGTTCTAATCAAATTCCAGATAGGGTCCATCCCTAGCGCTATAAAGTTAGCAAAGCAAGCAAACCCATATCTGTGGAGTTCTTAGTCCCTTGAGAGAAGCTACTATTGCTGCTTAGATAAATGGACATAGTATCAATGTCCTTCTCAAAATCAATGTTTATCCTGCAAAGACTACTTTCAATATTCTCCAGAAAAGCCTCTCTTTGCTGTGAGTAGAGGTGAATGTAGATACGTACAGCTGTGCAGCATACTGAGAATAAGGGATGGATGAATATTCATCCTTATAAGTAGATATGTATGCCACACCCTTGAGGCTGTAGGAACATTGTGGAAGAGGAAGTGGAAAGAGTGTAGTAACATAAGATATGGAGAAGGGCTGTGAAGTATTGTCTTCTAAGCATGACATGACCATGGCCATCATGCACTCATAGCACCTACACCTACCGTCTCTGGACCCACATAAGCAGAGCCTGCCCATCAATCATCTAGACATGGGGAAGCAGCTCACAGGGACAGTACCATTTCCTGCTAAACCATTGCCAAATTGTGGGGACAAAAAAGTTTTACATTCCATTTGTATGCCTCTTGGTGAGCTTGCTAGGTTTTACCGGTTAGTACAAAGCCTATGGGCACACAGATGTTCACAGTTAAATTCTGTGGGACACAAAGCAAAACTTCATGAATGTGGGAAAAAGATTTGTATAAAGAAGAGGAGCTGGCAGGAGTAGGAGGGAGATAAGAAGGTGTGTACAAACTGGAGTTACTACAATGCATTGTATGTGTGTATAAAATTGTCAAAACACAAAATTTATTACTAAAAATTATGCATGGATTCCAGATTGGGTATCTCATGCTGGCAAAATTCCTTCACTTTAAACCTGAGGTATTATGTGAACTAGAGCCAGATCTTCTGTGCTTCTCAGAATCTGTCACTTCAACAGCAGTCCTGATGCAGGACTGAGAAAATGGGGCATATATATATGAATGATTTGGATATGATTTGTTCTCTGATAATGATCATGTGTTGAAAGATGAGTAACTGCAGCAGTAATCAGCCCTGGGGGCTATGATTTTATGAATGGACCCATACACTAATGCAATCATAATTGCGAGTAGTGAGAGTGATAATGAAAACCATTTAAGATCATTCAGTTTGAGGAAGTAGATCACCGGAGGCATGTCCTGGAATAGAATATTTTGTAAGGACTCTCCCTCTCCCCCTCCCCCTCCCCTTCCCCTCTCCCTCCCCTCCCCCTCTCCCTCCCCTCCCCCTCTCCCTCTCCCCCTCCCCCTCCCCTTCCCCTCTCCCTCCCCTCCCCCTCTCCCTCTCCCTTCTCTGCTTTGGAGCTACCAGGTGAACAGCCTTCTCTCTCAAGCTTCCCATCCATGATATCCTGTTTCACCTCTGGCTCAAAGAGATGGAGGCAGCTGACCATGGACTGAAACATGGTTCTAAGTTCATGAATCAAAACAAAACTTTCTCCCTTTGTAAGTTGCTTATCTCATGTATTTTGTCACAATTGGGAAAAGCTGACTAGCACAGCATCACATTTTAAACTGTGGCCAGACCACCTGTTATGGATCCAGCAAAACCCACGTAACTAATCTATTTCGTGGCACCAAGAATTAATGACAACCCATCTTTCCCCACTCATTGCCTTTTTTCTGCCTTTTGGGTATCTGGACCTAAAGTAATTTTACCTGGTTTCAGCAAGGTTTCCCATATGATATTCTTATGTTTCTTGTCTTGGATTTGCAGCTTAATCTTTGAATCCATGTAGCCAATATAGATCTCAGAGAAGAGCTGGGATTCCCTGGGGCTCCTGTAGCACAATACCAGTTCCTGAAGAGAGAAAAGAATTGTCCTGAGAGAATCCACTACTCATTCTGGGAAGGAGAGCTGTCCCCAATGCCATAATTTCTTTATCTTGCTCATCACATTAGACTTTGTCTATCTTGTGCTTTAAGGTAACCCTCTGCTTTGAATACATATCTTTATCCTGAAGGTTGAGGACCTAGCTAGAACCAATGCTGGTTACCTTTTTCATCACTTTGACCAAAACCTGACAGGAAGCAACTCAAGGAAGGGTTCATATTGTTGCTTATTTTCATGGTGTGAAACTCATGTAAGGTGGAGCTCCAGTCTTGGTGGCAGGAGCTTGTGGCATGGCTCTTTATATCTTAGAGGATCAAGAATCAACAAGTCTGATATCAGGAGCAAGGCATCAGGGCATGATTAGAAACCTCAAAACTTGTCACTAATGATCTATTTCTGATATCCAGGCCTCACATCTTTGGTTTCCACAAACTTCCAAAGTATTACCACTGTCTGGAGACCACGTGTTTAAACATTGACACCCATAGAAGACATTTCAGATTCAAACCCTAACAGCAATGGATGAGTGAGAGCTCAGCCTGAAAGTCCTGATCACACAGCCTAAGTCAGGCCTTGCTCTCTAAGCCCTGTTGTGCTGGATTCTTCTCTGTGCCACACTGAATAAAACTCTTCAATTCTTCAAGAGCTTCTATATTCATTTAATTTGCTATCTACCAAACTTTGGCGTATTTGTGTTCATCCTAGTCCCAGTTGCTTTTCATCCAGCTTGCAACCAAGCCTTGTTACCTACCCCACAGGTTTTCCCAAGCCTGCCATCTGACCTTGAAGGGCAGCAAGCACCTGGATGCTCACCCTTGGCATGATTTCCAGTTTCTCAGAACCAGAAATGATGTAGCGTGAGCCGATGTAAAACGTGTCTTGAGGGGGTGGCTTATTTATTCGCACAAATTGGAATTTCATTTCTTCATCATCAATGGCCTAGGGAACATTACAGACAGTGATTATCTAGACTTCTGGACTACAACACCTGGTCTGAATAAGGTGAGATGGCCGACTGGTCTACATTTGTGTGGGATAGGATAGTGACACCTCCTGGGAACCCTTCTGCCTTGTGTTCTGCCACATACACTGTTTACTTTTTGGCTTCAGTCATGTTCATCGTGGGAACAGGATCCTTGCTAGAGAAGAAGAGAGTTGGCTACATGTTGGTCATGGAGCATTCCTGTCCTTCTGATGGGTGGAAAGAGGCTGTTGAAGTCTGGGCATAGGTTTGCAAAAGGGCAATAAAAGCAGTTGTAGGAGACTTCAGTGTGAGGGGGCAGGAAGGGTGCAGAATCATAACATCATGGTTTCCCTTATAGAACTGTATCCCCACTACCAGTTAAGAATCTCTCCGAGGGGCTCACTAGCTGCATTTCAGGTTTTCTGTCTGCCCACCCTGGCCCCACTTTTGTGGTCCTCAGTGTCACCTTCCGAATGGTGCAGTCATTGGGGATCAGGTACAGATGAAGGGTGACTTCCTTGAGATTGAGGTGATAGTAGATCAATGTGATGGAAGTGATGGGGATGAGGTGTCTGACAGCAGGGATCATCCTCAGTAGAACTCCCATTGGGGAGAAGCTTGGGTTTTCCAGTACTGTGTAGTTCTGCTCCACCCTGGCTGGAGTTTCTAGGGTCATCCCATGTTCTTGAAAGTGGGCCACTTGGAGCCAGGAGATGTCCACCTGACCCTCTGTGAAAGAACAGATTCAAAGATGTAGATTTGGTGTTTCAGTTGAGCCACATTTGCCTAGGAAATAGTACTCTACCATTTAGGATGACTATGGTGGTTTGAAATGAGAATGGTCTCCATTGTAGCTCTAATTCTAATTGGCCTGGGTCTAAAGACCCAGAGTCAGATATAGGGGTTCATGCTGAAAGATCAGAGGAGCAGAGAAGCCAGCCACTAGTTCTATGTCTACCAAATCCTCAGACCAAGTGGGCAATCCTGTCTCTCTGAATCCTTAGACTAAATGCTGCCTCTATGAAACCAGACTGAATGCTCTGAGCTCCTGTCTCCTCCTGCTTTATATTCCTCTCTTCACCCAGCCATTTTACTTCCTGTCTTCATGTCCTTTGTACTGGGATTAAAGGTATGAGCCATCACCATTTGGCTCTGTATCTCTTTTAGACTGATTCAATCTTGTGTAGTCCAGGGTGGCCTTGAACTCACAGAGATCCACCTGCCTCTGCCTCTCAAATGCTAGGATTAAATGTGTGAGCCACCATTGCCCGGCCTGTATGGCTAACTAGTGTGGCTAGCTCTGCACTGTGATCTTCAGGCAAATTTTATTTGTTAGATCACAAACAAAATATCACCACACTCCATAGTTAGTGGTATTGTTTGGGAAGGAGTAGGAGGTGTGGCCTTGTTGGAGGAGGTGTGTCCCTGGGGTGTGCTTGGAAGTTTTTAAATTTGTTTTGTTTCCTGTTTCCTTTCTCTCCCTCATCCTTGCTGATGAGGATGAGAGCTCACAGCTACTGCTCCAGTGCTGGGCCTGCCTGCCTGCCTGCTTTCTTCCATGTTCCCTGCCATGATGGTCATGGGTTCTAACTCCCTAACTGTAATCATCCCAATATCTTTCTAAGTCACCTTTGTCTTGATGCCTTTTTAGATTTATTTTTTGATGTTTATGAGAAAAACAATGAACAAAAAGCCATGAGTTTTTTATTAATTAATCTCCAGTGAGAACACAGCAGAACACTTGACCATTTCCTCACCATCAATTCACAGGGGAGGTGAGTGTGACATGCTCAGTGGTGACTTATGTTGACTGCCCTTCACTAAAGCAGCTCTGTCTTTGTCCCTGGCTAGCTACTGGGGGAACATTCACAGGGAGTGGAGTTTTTTTGTTGGTCTCATCTATAGATGCTATAAAGAATACAATCTCAGAGGCTACTGTCAGAAAATTGACAACCAGCATGTTCTCTGAGGTGTTGCCATCACCAGCTTCAGTGTCTTGGGATTGGCAGTGTCTACTAAAGTGCTTGCTGCAGGATGGAGTTTGCTGTTATGAAAGAGACCCTAGAGTACCTACCTTTGTTCACTGAAGACAAAGCTGGATGACCCATGGAATGGTTAATGTCAAATGTGAGCTTGGTGAAATCTAGAATCACCTTGGATATAGGCCTCAGAGTATGATAGAAGGAGATTATCTTGATTGGGTCAATGATTTGGAGGACCTGCCCTCTGTGGGATCCATGCACTGGGACCCAGATAATATGGAGAAGTTCACATGAGTACAACATTCAGTGGTTTAGCTCCCTCTGTTGACACAATTTACCAGGCATCACTAGCTCTATGTCCTCAGACTACCACTTCATGATAAATTGTTTATTTTTTTATTTTTATTGTGAGGCAAAATAAAATTTTCCACTCTAAGTTTCTTTCAGGTATTTTGCTTGAGCTACAAGGAAATGAATGAATGTGCACAGATAATTGATGTGGTTTTTAGGCCTTTGGAACTGTTTTGTGTCTGGGATGTAGAAGAGTTTTGTATTGAGAACTAAGAAAGCACTTCTATGCTGGCAGCAGAGATCATGGGGACATTACAGCAGAAGCAGGAAGACAAGAATGCTGACAGCGACAGTGGGGGCAGGTCATGACACTCCCAGAGAGTACCAGGTTTCTACGGGGAACTGTAAAAGATCCATTCATGTGACATTTTGGATAAGAATCCACTTTCTTGTTGACTGTGTCCTTTGCCTTACAGACGCTTCTCAGTTTCAGGAGGTCCCACTTATTAATGTTGATCTCAGTGTCTTTGCTATTGGTGTTATGTTCAGGAAGCAGTCTCCTGTACCAATTTGTTCAAGGGTACCTCCCACTTTCTCTTCTAAGAGGTTCAGTGTGGATGGATTTATGTTGAGGTCTTTGATCCATTTGGGCTTAAGTTTTGTGTATGGTGATAGACATGGGTCTATCTGCAGTCTTCTACATACCATCATCCAGTTGTGCCAGCACCATTTGTTGAAGATGATTTTCTCCTCCCATTGTATACTTTTAGCTGTTTTGTCAAAAATCAGGTGTTTGTAGGTGTGTGGATTAATATCAGGATTTTTTGATTTGATTCCATTGGTCCACATGTCTATTTTTGTGCCAATACCAAACTGTTTTCAGGACTATAGATTTATAGTAGAGCTTGAAGTCAGGGATGGTGATGCCTCCTGAAGTTCCTTTATTGTACAGGGTTGTTTTGGCTCTCCTAGGTCTTTTATTTTTCCATATAAAGTTGAGAATTATTCTTTCAATGCCAGTGAAGAATTGTGCTGGGATTTTATTGGGGGATTGCATTGAATCTGTAGATTGCTTTTGGCAAGATTGCCATTTTTATTATGTTAACCCTACCTATCCAAGAGCATGGGAGATCTTTCCATTTTCTGGTATCTTCTTTAATTTCTTTCTTTCTGCTGAAGAGAGTTTCAGGCAAGGAGTAGAGAGGAGTAGAGAGGTTATGTGAGGTTCATGTGATAGAACTGGAGGGGTGGAGCTACCTTTGGAGTCCAATGAATGACATCAGGAGCTCTATAGCTGGGCATGAAGCTGCAGGAGTTGGTATTTATGCTGATAGATTTTTTTTTTTTGTCTTGCTGCAGTCTGATCATTCCTTGGAATGCCCTGATTCTTCTGTGTTGACATGGTAATGTCTATTGTGTACCATTGTATGCTGAAAATAATATTTTAAGATTTCACAGTTAAGACATTTGTTCCAATCTCTGTTGTGAAGTGGACGTTATGGACTTTTAAACCATTGGAATCATTAAGGACTTTGGGGATCTTTGAAACTGGATTGTACTTTGCATTATGAGACAAAACTTTAATTTTGGAGACAAGAGGTGGAAGTTAGGATTAAAATGATGCGCTTGGGTGTCAAGTTGACAGTGGGTGGAATGGTGATGTTGAATGTCACTTGTCAGCTTGATATGATCCCTGCTAATGGATGCACCACTCTGTAACCCACCCTTTCCCTGTCCTGTCAGCACTGAGTTTGCTTTCAACTTGTGCCATGGCAGACAGCATTGCAGTGTATGTCTTTCAGCAGAGAGCATTTCAGCAGAGAGTGTTTCTATTTCTCTTGGTTCACTGCTTTGGAATCAATAATCACCAGGAAATGAGACAGTGAAATTGTTCCTGCACAAAGTGGTACAGCTTAGGATTTCCATCATTGACATGACAGCTAGTAATTTCACATGGAGCACACATCACTGAAATGTCCTCTGTGTGGCAGTTCTGGGCCTTGAAGCCCTAGCTTTCCCCAAGTCAGGTTCCCCCAGCACAAGATCCTTGCACTTACCCATGCTTTGTGCTGTACCAGTTTTCACAGAATCCTGGAAGATGCCTCTTCAACTTCCTTCTTGATAGGCTAAACCCTAGTCAGGACCTTCCAAGGACTTAGGAAAGTGGGGTGCTGGAGTTTTCATTGTTGGAAAGAGACATTTCCTGAGGCATCTAAGATGACTTGGTAAATTCATACATTTCTTTTCTCCTTTTACATTTTGTTTTGGATACAGGGATTTACTATGTATCCTTGCTAGAATTCATAATCCTCCTTCCTTGGCCTCCAGAACTTTGGGATCACAGGTATATGCCACCACCCAGCCCTGTGACTGTTCTTCCTACAATACTGTTCCTTCTGTTAACCATAAAAGAATCACATACTTTCAGTTTTCCAGTGGTATAATTTTCTGAATGGAGAGTGGGAGTTAGAAAGAGGAAAGGTGGTGGTCTGCAAGAAAAAGATTGAGTGGTGACTGAGACAAGTTGTTGGGGGAGACCAGGAACAGTTTGACTGAACACATTGTATACCATTGGAAGTCACCACTTGGGAGGCAGTGCTCCTGTGTCAGGGTCTGTAGCTCAAGGCCTTATGTATTTAACATTGTGATTATTGTTTTATATGTTTTCTGAGTTCTTTTCAACGGAATCCAGCTTGTCTTTTTTCCATCTTCAATTTTTTTCTTTTGGGCTTGCTATTATTCATGAGTATTTTTAATCTAAGAGATTCTTAACTTCTTTTCTATTCATGGTTCTTCTACAAGCTGGAGAATTCTCTACTCTTGCTTTAGTTTTCTTGACTTCTTCACCTGTCAGATCTGCCCTGTTAAGAGCCCTCTTGGACCTACTCCTCATCTTCATCACCATGTACAAACTCAATCTTTTTTTGCAGTGAGCTGGATTCTCCTGGTCTCTATGGTGGCCCTATTTATTGTTGTGCCTCTTGAAGCAGGAGAGGGAGTTGGTCTCATAGTCACTTTTACATCCTTTGCTTCCCTTTTTCTTCTTGCTACCTTTTCCTTTTCAAGGCAGAGTCTGGCTATGGGTAGTCTAGGCTGTTCTTGAATTCTAAATTTGCCCCCTCAGTCTCTAGAGAGCTGGGATCACAGGCTGTAGAAATGGCTTTCTTTACGAGATGGTTCACTGGAAACCTTGTAAAATATCTTCTGAAGGAATCTTTGGCGATGACTGAGGTTGGGACACTTTATGAGTCCCCCTCTTTTATTTTAGGAAGGCCCTCTTCTGTGTCTCCAGTCCCTAAATGGAATCTGGTGACATAATTTTCACCCTGTGTGTGTGGGAGTGTAATGGCTCACAGTGTTGGTAGACCCTAGGTACCAAATGTTTCTTGTTAACTTCATTATTGTCACTTTGCAGCAATCTCTTCAAATTGTCCAACTTATTCTCAGTTCCCTGCTGGGCTCCTGAAGGAAATGGTGTATAAAGAACACTTAATAATCACCAGTTAATATTGCTACCGAGGACACAACTTTCCACTTAGGGACTCCATTAGGTAAAACAGAAATAAAGTCATAAGGCTAGGAGACAAATGTGTCAAAAAGGAGACATTAGACAAGAAGGGATGAAAAACATCTCAGTGTCCACCTCCAAAATTTGCTCTGCCTCAGGGAGGAAGCCACGAGAACTTTCCTCATCACCTTCATCCTATTATCTGCTATATGACCTGTCAACCCCTCCCACTAACACCACCCCGCTCCTTATGCTTCCCTTGGTTACCTTGGAGAGCCACAAAATGAGGGAGGTACACAGCAGCCACAGCTCCCTGCTCAGCCTTGATGTCAAACAGAGGCCCAGCCACCATGTGCCTGTGTCGCAAGTGAGTCTGGTCCAGGTATTGGGTCCAGGCACAGAATCCAATCTCGATTGTCACTGCCCTTGTCACCACAAAGTGGAGTCCTATGTTGGGACAGTGGTAGGAACCAGGCATGGGAAATTGAACTCTAGGAGACAGAGAAGCAGACACCTGTGAACACTAGCTCTGTTCATCTGCTGAGTTCAGACCTAGTGCAGGGCTGGGGACACTACAGATTTCAGCCAGATGGTCTGAGCTCTGGTTCCTCTGCTGTCTGTAGACAGATCACCAAGTAAGCCATTTAATCCCCAAATCTGTCTCCTCATCTGTATAAGGGGGCAATGACAACACCATCTCATAGACCTGTGGGTACTGAGAGATCCAGAGTGAACCCACAGGTGACACACACCTGGAGCATCTAGCTGTTCCTGTGATGGTGATGATGAGGGTGATGAATTAGGAGTGTGTGTGTGTGTGTGTGTGTGTGTGTGTGTGTGTGTGTGTGTGTGAACTTTCGGGGATCAAACTAGGACCTTGTGTACACTAGGCAAGGGCTCTACCCACTGAGGTTCATCTTCAGTTTCTACTGTTTATATTCTTAAAGTGTATTACACAAAATAAGGAGACTTCTGCTAATATACGTGATGAATCCTTGGCCCTGACACAGTGCTTTACCAAGATCTTCAGTGATTTTCTCAAGGCTTCCTCTTTGGTTACATATGGGTGGACAAGTATCAGTTTCTGTGGGAAGAAGTTAAAGTGACAGTTTTCCAGCCGATAGAGTGACTGTGACAATGTTGAGGAGGTTGGCAGGTTATGGAAGACACTGTGCCAGTGTATATAGTCACTCATTATTCATGGTACTATCTTCTTGGAGGCCAGGGCTGCTGTATGTATCATCATGTCCTCAGCTCCTATTGGGTTCTTGGCACCCAGCGGCAGTTAGTGAAGCAGGAGTGCAGGGATGATAGGGATTTAAAGGAATCCCAAGGGTCAGGAGAAACAAAATATAATGAGGAGAGAGATGCTGTTTATACCATGAATAAAATAGTCAGCAGAGAGTCCACATTTCAGGTAATAAGAAAAGTTGAGTACACACTGTTTAGATGGAATGAAGGACTCATGTCAGCTCTGTGGATGAGGTCATAGAAGATGAGTTCCTGTCTTAACTACAGGGGTGCATAGTGAAATGTTTGTGGGTGAAGTCATCTGTTGTCCTGGACTCACAATACTGTGACTGTGATGACAAGAGAAGATGTGAGTAGTTGAAACAAACTTGGAAGAAATGGTTGCTGGGGCTGATAATTAACTGTTCAGCGAAGTTCTTGTGCTCTCCAGTTTTGTAAATATTTGAAAATTTGTATGAAAAAAACCCTTTACTATTATCACACCCCAAGTCTCTTATTCCCATCTGGCCTTGGCTCCTGTGTTGGTGAGGGAGAGGAGGAAACACAGTAGAGACTAGGTGAAAAGTGTGGAAGGTGTCCTGGAGAAAGTCACCTTTTCCAGGCATAGCTCACTCACCGGTACAGGTTCTTCTCTCTGTCAATCACTTCAGTAGCCACAGGCCCTGTAGGGCCCCAGAAGTCATCTTTAGTCCCCAGTGGTTTCATGTACTTGTGTCCTGGAGAGGCAGGAAAAGATATATGGTCTTTAGTGGTTCAGGTTGTAAGCACCACTCCTTTAGAAGAGGCCGTGCAAAGGTCCCTCTGTGTTGTCCAGGCTCATCTCCCCAGCATTTTTCAGTAATCAACACTTTTCCATGTTTTCCTAGGTCTTAGCAGGAAATGTGTCTGTAGTTCTTATCACTGTTCTGCAGGCTACCTGTATTCTTTTAGCCATATCTGTATCTGGTATCTGTATCTGTATCTGTATCTGTACCTGTATCTGTATCTATATCTATCTTTATTGTCCTTCTTCTTGCTTTTTGAGCAACCATCCCACCATAATACTTTCCTTTCTTAATGGTCCATAAATGTTGCTTTTCCTACTGTGTCTCAAGTGGTTATGCCAAGAAAAGAATGTAACTCAAAAGATGTTCCAGGTCATAGCATCTCAGAATCAGACAGGGAACTCTGGGTTAGAGCCTGTTGCAAGTCAGAGACTTGAGAAAGGGGTATCACCATTCCCCTCATCCAAGGCAGAGAGAATAAAGTAGTATTCTCTCTGGGTTCTAGATTTAAAAGGTCTCACAAGGGTTAGTGTTCTTTTTTGTAGAGAGCTTGTAGTGTTCCATCTCAGAGAAATTGGGATCGAAATGGTGACCACTTGTAGGATATCTGTTGCAGATAATGTTTTCTGTATATGACAGGGATGTTGTACCCATGAAATATCAACAACATCTCTACCTTAACAAGATTTGCACAATGACAACATTATTTGACATGCTAATGTGGATGGGGAAAAATCTGATAATGGCCCAGTCATAAATGAAGAGCTATAAGTAATTGATATATTGAAGAGAGGGACAAAATGAGTCTTCCCCAGGCAAGAGTTCACTAGGTTATCCATTCCTAAGTAGTAATCCTGAAAGATATGTACATTGACCAACACTACATGGACTCATCAGATTGTATGTGTGTGTATGTATATATATACATACATACACACACACAAACACGTTTAACAATAATATTTAAGAGAAGGTCATGCATTTGAGAGAGTTTGTTGGTAGGACACAGGAATTGTTGGAGTAGTCAGGCTGAGTGGTGAAGATAAATATAGTATTCATGAATGAAATTCTAACAAACAATATTTAAAAAACAAAGAAACTTGTCTCAGAACCCTTCTCCCTGTCCATGCTGTCCCAGCTCCTTGCAGGCCTCAGTGTTAGGCCCTGATATCAACCCGGAGGACTTCATCCACTCAGGCACAGGCTACACTAGCCAGAACTGGTGAGTGATTGGCCTATAGATGGAACTGCACCACACACTACATTTTTATCCAGAGACCCTGCCTACAGCCCATGCCATCCTAGCTCATTGCACAAGATACACTGGTCAGAAAAAGCACAAACGACACCAGCACATGCTTCAACTGCCCAGGTGCAAGCCACGCCAATTAGAAGAACAGAGACCCCTCCTGCTATACTAAAGGCCAAGTTAACCACCAGAAGGCCACCTCCCAACTTGGACAGAAACTTCCAATTAGAGCAGAGGTCATGTCAGTCCCCAGAAATCCAGGCCACAAAGACTAGGAAACCTAAGAGGAAACAGAAGCTAAAGAACGAAATACCCATCTAAGAAAGACAAAGTCTAATTATCCCAAACCTGGATGCCCAAATGCCAGTGTAAACCTACAATCAACATCATCCAGGGCAATATGGCACCACCAGAGCCAGCCGTCCTATGACAGCAAAACCTGAATATTCCAATGTGGTCTAAGCACAAGAAATCAACCTTAAAAACAACTTTATGAAGATGATAGAGATGGGAAATGGAAAATTCCCTTAAAGAAATTGGGGAAAAGACAACCAAAAATTAGAGGAAATCAAAAACTCCCTTAAAAATGCCAAGAAAGCCAAGGTGAAGGAAATTAGTCATGATATGAAAGTCGAAATAGAAGCAATAAAGAAGACATAAGTTGAGGGAATTCAGGAAATGGAAAATCTGGGTAAATGAATAGGAACTACAGATGCAAGCACCACCAACAGAATACAAGAGATGGAAGAGAAAAATCTCAGGCATTGAAAATAAAATAGAAGAAATGGATTTATTCTTCAAAGAAAATGTTAAATCTAAGAAAACTCCTAACACAAAACATCCAGAAAATCTGAGACATCATGAAAAGACCAAACTTAGGAATAATAGGAATAGAAGCAGGAGAAGAATCTCAACACAAAAACCCAGAAACTATAATTAACAAAAAAAATTCATAAAAGAAAATTTTACTCACCTAAGCAAGGTCATACCTATAAAGGTATAAGAAGCTTACAGAACATCAAATAAATTCGACAGTAAAGAAAGTCCTTGTGTCACATAATAATCAAAACACCAAACTTATAAAGAAAGAATATTAAAACTCCAAGGGAAAAAGACCAAATAACATACAAAGGCAGACCTATAAGAATTATATCTAACTTCTCAACAGAGAGTCTAAAACCCAGAAGGGCCTGAACAGATGTCTTGCAGACTTGGAGAGACCATGAATGCCAACTCAGACTACTATACCCAGCAAAACTGTCAATCACCATAGATGGATAAAGCAAGATATTTCACGACAATGTCAAGTTTAAACAATATCTGTCCAGAAATCCAGCCCTACAGAAGGTACTAGAAGGAAAACTCCAACCCAAGGAAGTTAAATACACAAATTAAAACCCAGACAATAGATAATCTCACACCAGAAAACCTAAAGAAAGGAAACACACACACACCACTTCCACACCACCACTACCAACACTACCACCACCACCACCACCATCACCAGCAGCAGCAGCAACAACAACATAATAACAGGAATTAACTTCAGTGGTTGTTAACATCTCTCAATATCAGTGGACTCAATTTGCCAATAAAAAGATACAGGCTAACAGAAGATCCATCCTTCTGCTGCATACAAGAAACACACCTGAATATCAAAGATAGAGCTAGACTAAATGGCTGGAAGAATATATTTTCCAATCAAAAGAACCTAACAAGAAAGCTGGTGTAGCTATCCTAATATCAAACAAAATGGACTTCAAACCAAAATTATTCAAAAGAGATGGAGAAAGACATTTCATAATAATTAAAGAAAAAAAAATCCACCAGGATGAATTCTCAATTTTGAACAACTATGCCCCAAATACCAGGGTACTTACATTTGTAAAGCAAAAACATTGCTAAAGCTTGAATCACACATCAAATTCCACACATTAATAGTATGAGACTTCAACAGCCCACCCTCACCAATGGACAGAAATAAAATAGAAATAATGGAACTAACAGGCGTTATGTCATGGGAAATGCCATTTTGTAAATATGTCTCTCATATTGGTTAATGAATAAAGCACTGTTGGCCAATAGGAAAGCAAGATAGACAGACTAGGAGACAGGGAGGATTCGGGAAGTAGTAGGGAGGAGATTCAACATGGAGGATGGAGAGAGCTGAACTCCAGACCCTCTCTCTCTGGTAAGCCAAGACCACGTGGAAACATTTAGATGAATAGAAATGGGTTAATATTTATGACAGAGCTAGCCAGTAAGAAATGCTAGTAACAGGCCAACGGCATAATATCTAATACAATGTCTCTGTGTGTTATTTGGGGCTGGTGCGGCTCTTGGTCCAAGCCAGTGGGGAAACTGGCTCATAACAGTTATAACTCAAATGTACTTAACGGATATCTACAGAACATTTTACTCAAACATAAAGAATATACCCCCCCCTTTTTTTCCCTCAGTACCTCATGGAATCCTCTCCAAAAGTGACCATATACTTGGTTACAAAGCAAGTCTCAACAGATACAAGATAGTTGAATTAGCTCTCTGCGTCCTATCAGACCACAATGGATTAAAGTTGGATTTCAATAACAATAGAAACAAAAGAAAGCCCATAGACTTATGGAAACTGAATAACTCTCTATTAAATTACTAATGGGCCAAAGAAGAAATAAAGAAAGAAATCAAACATCCTAGAATTCAATGAAAATGAATATACAACATACCCAAACTTATGGGACATATAAAATCTGTACTAAGAGTTCATAGCACTAAGTGCCTGAATGAACAAATTAGAGAATTCTCATACCAGAGACTTAACAGCATACCTGAAAGCTCTAGAACAAAAAGAAGCAGACAAAATAAAGAAGAGTAGATGGCAGGAAATAATCACACCAAACTAAGAGAGAGAGAGAGAGAGAGAGAGAGAGAGAGAGAGAGAGAGAGAGAACATCCAAACTAACAAAAATCAGAAATGAAAAGGGGAACATAATGACAGACATGGAAAATTCCAAAGAACCATTAGATCATACTTGAAACAAAATTGGAAAATATAAAAGAAATGGACAATGACACCACTTACCAAAGTTAAATCAAGATCAGATACAAATTTAAACAGACACATAACTGCCAAGAAAATAGAAACGGCCATTCAAAGTCTTCCAAATAATAAAAGTTAGGCACAGATGGTTTTAGCACAAAATTCTACCAGATTTATAAAAAATAGCTCATACCGATACTCCTCAAATTATTCCACAAAATAGAAACAGAAGGACGACTGCCAAATTCATTTGATGAGGCCACAGTCACTCTGCTACCCAAACCACACAAAACTCATTACAGACCAATTTCCTCCATGAATACAGATGCAAAAATAAACAATAAATTATTTACAAAGAGAATCCAAGAACATATCAAACAATCCTGTACAATAAAAGAACTTTTATTGTTCTTTTAGTGGAGGTATCACTATTCCTAATTTCAAGCTGTGCTACAGAACAATAGTAATAAAAACCACGTGGTATTGGCCTAAAAATAGATATGTTGGTCAATGTATTTGTATCAGAGATTATTGTTCTTTTAATGTAGGTATCACTATCCCTGATTTCAAGCTGTGCTACCGAACAACAGTAATAAAAAAACCCACATTATATTGGCAAAAAAAAAAAAAATAGATATGTTGGTCAATGTAATTGTGTCAGAGACC